CACGTGAAATTTCAAACGCAAGAGAAAAAACAAAAAGAAAGGAACACCTTCGTATGTATACGACGCTTTGGTATCCGATGAGAAATGCATCGTGGTCCGTCTCAACGTCATGCATTTGTTACGCTCCGTATCAGATTCGCGTGTGATCTCGAGAAAGCATCGATCGAAAAAGGATCCTGCTCGCTATATTAAGTATACTATATCATATTCGTGTGCAGCTACGAACGATCTCGTCGAACTATAAACAATAAATGCAACAACAGCCTTTGTCTCGTAAAAGTATTCGTATAATTTATCAGCTATTATCGGCTACAACATCGGCGCGTCCTTAAATATACGTAGCGAGAGAATAAGAAAGTAATGTGTTAGTAATATTTTGCTGGAAATAAGAGATAGAGCTCGTACGTCTAAAATGATCGTAGTCTTTTGGTAACAGCTCGTGTAGGTATATGCGCGTGTATGTATATTAGATTTTTCTGTGTACAGTACGTGTGTACATGATTTTATGTGTGTGTATGCGTAAACATGTATGCGTTTGCGTGTCTGTCTGTCTGTGTGTCGAATCATTAAAAACCCTTGGAGCCTTCGAGGGGAAATGTAAATTGAAGCGTCTGAAAGTGAGCGCCTCTATTCGCTAACGATTTACGCTAGAATAATCCTAAAGCTTCTGAACGAAGAGAATGGTGAGTCACGGTTTCTCGAGATCAAACGCAAACTCCGCGAGTCGACGAAAGAAAGACAGATTGCTAGCCACGGATAATTGCTAACTAATTAAATATATTACCGATCGGATGCAACTAATGGCGCGTAATTATCTGCAGACTGCCCCCCACCCCCTTAAATTACAAATATCTAAGTGAGAATTTCTCGTACGCTATGCAACGGTAAAATCAGGCGCGCAGCACTTTAGACATTGTTTAATTTTTCATTTCCTCTTTTTTTTCTTTTTTTTTTTTTTAAATTTTCGCATGCCTCCGTTTCTGTTGTAATTTTTTTTCGTTTTTTTTTCCTATTTCTTCTTTTTTTCTTTTTTATATTCAATTTGTTTAGATTGTTCAATCTCGTCTTGAAACACCCGCACTTCCATTAGAAAAATCTCGCGAGCGCGAGATCGCGCGTACCACGCAGAAGAAAAAGAGGGAATCATCTGTTTCTAGCTCTTTAGTTTTTAAATTTTTTCCCCGTTTTTTTTCTAGTTTGTCTTCTGATTCCTCGCGCGATTCTTGCACAAGCTCGTCGTTGAGAATTCATCCCTTTTTCGTTAAATATTTTTTTTCTTTTTGTTTATTCTTTAAATCTATCATACTTTCGCTCTCTCACTTTCTCTCGATCCCTTTCTCTCCTTCTCTCTTACTTTACACTTTTTTTTTTTGTTCATTCTTTAGAAAATAATTTTTATCTCTGTAAGTTTTCTCTGTGTTTGTGTACGTTTCTTTTTGTTTTTTTTTTTTTTTTTTTGTTTTTTTTTTATTTTTTTTGTAGCGACAGCACGAAACGCCGTGCGAATAAGAAACGAATCCGGGAGCGTCGATTTTTATTCGTACGGTCAATTAGAATTAATGTGCCCGTCGCAAAATCTTAATTTTTTTA